TATATATCATCATCTATTGGCGACAAAATAAGTAAATCATTACGAGAATTTCATCGTTGTCATTCATTTCCGTCGGTCACGTTGTCGGTTTGTTTACTGTTGTGACGTCATGAAAGTGTAGCAGAGGAAGTTTGAAAATGTTTGTTACGAAACCAGACCAAGATATCTGACAAGAAGGATTTCGAGAATTTTCAAAATTCTTGAATTATCTTACGGTCAAAAATGCGCCTGAACACACACAAACATTCTTTGTGTGTATTGGTGTGAGGACAATATAAGTACAGATATGTATATGTACAAACGCGCGCACGAAAACACACACAAACACACATGTACATTTAGAGAGATAGAAAGATGATTATAACATACCATATGTATATGTGTGTATACATTTCAAGTACTTCCTACTTAGGTAACCATCTGTTATCAAAACATTTTAGCAAAAAGGGAAGGCAAGAAAAGTCGTATATGTAAACAAATACAATTTATTCATAAAATAACAAAATCATTATTTATTTTAACATTATCAAAAATAACAATAAATAGCTCCTTAAACACATTGTCTTTAAGATTAGATTACAGTTCCAGTTAATGAAATATGTTTTCCTATGCTGCCTGTGGAATCTTCGGAGCCGTGACAGTCAACACGCCATCGGAAGACATTGCGGAAGTCACGGCCTCCATGTCCACTTTGCCTGGGAAGTTGAAACGTCGACAGAAGCTTTTCATGGACTTGAAGTCACCTTCTTCCTTTTCCACGCAACCTTCCACCACCACCTGATTATCTTCCACTCTGACCTTAACGTCTCCACTCTTGAAGTCATCAACATCTAGTACAACCTGTATATAAAATCGAGTATTTATTTTGTATAATTTTTCTTCCACTTTGATTTTAATGAATATCTAAATACTCTGTGTGACGTAGATTTTCAAACCTAGCCTTTGATTTCAAAAGTTTTTAAACAACTTTTTTCTATTTGTGTCAATCAGTGTGTCTGCAATCCACATGGATTTTAGATTGTAAAACTAACCTTATGATTCTGGTCGTTCTCGCTGAAGGCCATGACTTGGTTCTCCTGCTGCAAATTGCGGTCTCTTACACGTCTGTAGCTACTCATCAGATCACTAAAGGATTTGTCCTCTCCCCACGAATCCAGCATTTGGTCGATGGCTGTCTCAAAGTGCTTCCGAATATCCTCGAAGAAGGAATCGTCGAAGAAAAGTCCCTTCTCAGCGATTGGGAGAAGCGAATCCTCTTTGCATTCGGGAGCTTCTGGTTTCTGGTCAGCAAGGGCGTTAGTATTTTTGTTCTCCATATTTCTCTATCGTTTATCACTTTAGTAAGATTGAGTACGTCTTGCGGTGATGTAGATAAAGCCACAACTTGCTTTCTTTTCTCAAAGAGTGTTATAACTGTTGTGTCTAGCGAGAGTCGGCTGCTGAGGCTTTTATGTGGCGCGAGTTGGGTGTGCGCCCATTTTCCACCTCCATCTGGACGCGGGATCATGGCATGCTTGGCAACATCTTTAGTCGAAATCTCGTGAAACTTCTAGTTCTCAATCTAAGATGAATTTATACGATCCAATCATGCGACAAATGCTTCATTACTTGGCATTTTAATGAATTGGCATATTCCATCATCTATAAGGGCATCATTTACACTGGGACACAACAAATGCATATAATATACACACGCACACATATGTGTATATATATATATATATATATATATATATATATATATATATATATATATATATATATATATATGTAAATATTACATACCAGCACACACACTCAAATATACTTTGTGTGTATATAAGGAAAATATATGTATATATATATACATTGTATGTTTATGTACAGATGCATACAGATATATATATATATATATATATATATATATATATATATATATATATATATATATATATATATATATATATACATAATATATAGACATTTAAATAGGAATATATAGATATATAAATAGATTATATAGATATATAAATGGATATATAGAGATATATAAACATGTGTATATATATATATATATATATATATATATATATATACATATATGTATAAGTATTTATCTATCTGTATGTACGTCTATATGTGCATATATATAAGTATATATAGGGATTAAATATGTATATATACATATATGTACACATATGTTTATACATATATGTGTGTAAATGCATACATAAATACATATATGTGTTTGTGTGTGTGTGTATATATATATATATATATATATATATATATATATATATATATATATATATATATATATGCACATATATACTTTAGTATATGTATGAACATGCAGACATCCATAAATATACATATATTGCCTAATACGAACACACCTGCACGCGTACACGGAGACACACATATATGTGTGTTTATCTATGTATCAACTTATTTATTTATTATATATATATATATATATATATATATATATATATATATATATATATATATATATATATATATATATATATATATATATATATATATATATATACATTCAATGTGATTCATTTCATTGAAAAAAATAATCATGAAAGCATAGGTCATAGTAATCGCGTCAATCCTATTTATGTTTGGTACTCTAAAGTTTCGAAAAGGTATCTCTTATGAAAACTATCCTACAATTAGCAGTCGATTCTGTTCTAATAATATCGCGAAAAGGGAAAGCAAACAAAACTATTGCTATATATATATATATATATATATATATATATATATATATATATATATATATATAAATTTCATGTAACATTATCCACAATAACAAAAAGGAGTTAATTTACCGTACATTTTCTTTTAGATTATTTCAGCTAATGAAATATGCTTTCTCAAGCTGCACTGGTCACAACAGTTGCAAATAGTGAATCATCTTTGTACTTGGTAAAGGTATTTTCCTCGAGAGTTTCGAAGAACCATCTGCTGTGCAATCTCTGTGACAGCTGGTGATTTCTCTTTGCATTTGGTACAGTTATTTTTTCTTCAATACTTTCGGAGAACCATCTGTTATGCAATCTATGACAGTCGATGCTTTTTTCGATAAGTTCGCGAGAAAGGAAGGCAAGTAAAGTCAAACAAGCATATAACAAATATAATTTATTAAAAAAAGTCTTATCCTTTTAATATTATCCTAAATAATAAGTAGTTACTTAAACATACATTGTCTTTAAGATTATGTTACAATCACAGTTAATATATGCTTTCTTATGCTGCCTGTGGAATCTTCGGAGCCGTGACAGTCAACACGCCATCGGAAGACATTGCGGAAGTCACGGCCTCCATGTCCACTTTGCCTGGGAAGTTGAAACGTCGACAGAAGCGTTTCATGGACTTGAAGTCGCCCTCTTCCTTTTCCACTCGACCTTCCACCACCACCTGATTATCTTCCACTCTGACCTTAACGTCTCCACTCTTGAAGTCATGGACATCTAGTACAACCTGTATATAGAATCGAGTAGTATTTATTTTACTAGTTTTTGTCTTTCATTTTTATATTAATATCTAAATACTCTGTTTGCGTGGCCTGTATTTCTTAAACCTAATCTTCAATCTGAAAAGTTTTTTAAACATATTTCTTTTCATGTAAATAAATGTTTAAATTATTAGTTTGCGAACAACATGGATTTTAGATAGTAAAACTAACCTTATGATTGTGGTCGTCTTCGCTGAAGGCCATGACATGGTTCTCCTGTTGGAGATTGCGATCTCTTACACGTCTGTAGCTACTCATCAGATCACTCACGGACTTGGTTTCTCCCCAAGTGTCCAGGATTTGGTCGATGGCTGTCTCAAAGTGCTTCCGAATATCCTCGAAGAAGGAATCGTGGAAGAAAAGTCCCTTCTCAGCAATGGGGAGAAGTGAATCCTCTTTGCATTTGGGAGCTTCTAGTTTCTGTTCAGCACTAGTATTTTTGTTCTCCATATTTCTCTATCGTTTATCGCTTCAATAAAGTAGAGTAAGACTCGTGGAAATGTAGATAAAGCTACAGCTTGCTTTCTCTCAACGAGTGTTGTTTCCGTTGTGTCTAGCGAGAGGCGACTGCTGAGGCTTTTCTGTGGCGCGAGTTGGGTGTGCGCCCACTTTCCACCTCTTTCTGGACGCATCACTAAGGCACTCTTGGCAACATCTTCATTCGAAATCTCGTGAAACTTCATGTTCTCAACTTAATTAAGATGATTGCTTTCGGTACAAGCTTGCGAAAAAGGAATTAAATCTATTTGTGTGAGTTTATAAATATATTCCATCATCTATATGGTCATTTTTATATAGAAATAAGAAATACGCGCATTAACGCACACACACACACACACACATACACACACACATAACCTCATATATAGAGATATGCATATGTATATAGATATTGAATACAAATAAGCACATACATACGTACACACAAACACATAATGGGCCTTTTTGAGGGGAAACGCGAGCAAGCCATGGTTTGGTTTGGTTTGCCTCACCTTGCCGAATTCGTCAAAAAACAGACCCAGCTTCCAGCTTGCTATCAATGTAAACAAACGTCCGCAATACGAGATATGAGTGACAGAATCATTCGCAGAAGGAAACAGAGTGGCCTCTGTTAGTAATGTTAGTGAAATTACCGACGAAGAAATCTTTTCATGTCGTGTTTTTGCATTAATGAAAAAGATAAACGAAATAAGAATTTTAAAATATCTACATATTGTGCCGCACAAAAGTTATGGAAAAAGAAAAGTAAATCGTCCACACACTTTAAAGCAAGACTAAAAGGTTATTATCTACTACTCATAACAAAGATGGGTCTTCCAAACTGCGAGTTTAGAATGGATATAACATGGGTAAATAAAAGCGCACTTCGAACATCCCAGGATAGGCATTATACATTTATAAATACCTAGTACTTTCCTTCTTGAGAATAATAAAACTGTCAATATACTCCATTTAATACTTCTGGTAGATAAAATAAATGGCTAGTATATATTATCATCTATTGGCGACAAAATACGTAAATTATCACGAGAATTTCATCGTTATCATTCATTTCTTTCGGCCATGTTGGCGGTTTCTTTATCATCATGACGTCCTGAAAGTGTGTAGCAAACTTCCTCTTGGAGGAAGTTAGAAAATGCTTGGTTTGGTTACGAAACCAGACCAAGATATCTGACCAAGAAGGAGGTTTCAAGACTGAGGATAATGTAAGCATACAAATATGGATGTGTACAAACGCGCGCGCGCACAAACACACACACATATATATATATATATATATACATGATGATTATAACATACCATACGTATATGTGTGGATATATTTCAAGTACTTCCTGCCTAGGTAACCATTTGTTATCCAAACAGTTTCGCGGAAAGGGAAGGCAAGTAAAGTCGTACACTTAAACAAATACTATTTATTTATAAAAGAGCAAAAACATTATTCATTTTAACATTATCAAAAATATCAGTAAATATTTCCTGAAACATAAGAAGAGCAAATAAAATTTTTTTTCACCCTTCCCAAACCTGAGTGGGGGAGGTTAATGAAATATGATGCTGCCTGTGGAATCTTCGGAGCCGTGACAGTCAACACGCCATCGGAAGACATTGCGGAAGTCACGGCCTCCATGTCCACTTTGCCTGGGAAGTTGAAACGTCGACAGAAGCTTTTCATGGACTTGAAGTCGCCCTCTTCCTTTTCACGCAACCTTCCACCACCACCTGATTGTATTCCACTCTGACTTTAACGTCTCCACTCTTGAAGTCATGAACGTCTAGTACAACCTGTATATAGAATCGATTTTTTTTTTTTTTTATAAATATCTAAATTCTTTTCCTAACCTTCAATTTCAACAGTTTTTTAACATCTTTTTATTCTACTTTTCATGTAAATAAATATTTAAATCAGTGTTTTTGGGATCCACATGGATTTTTGATTGTAGAACTTACCTTGTGACTCTGATCGTCTTCGCTGAAGGCCATGACTTGGTTCTCCTGCTGCAGATTGCGGTCTCTTACACGTCTGTAGCTACTCATCAGATCACTCACGGATTTGGCTTCTCCCCACGAATCCAGCATTTGGTCGATTGCTGTCTCAAAGTGCTTCCGAATATCCTCGAAGAAGGAATCGTGGAAGAAAAGTCCCTTCTCAGCGATAGGGAGAAGTGAATCCTCTTTGCATTCGGGAGCTTCTAGTTTCTGTTCAGCAAGGGAGGTAGTATTTTTGTTTTCCATGATTCTCTATCGTTTATCGCTTCAATAAGGTAGAGTAAGACTCGTGGAAATGTAGATAAAGCTACAGCTTGCTTTGTTCTCTCACCGAGTGCTGTTTCCGTTGTGTCTAGCGAGAGGCGGCTGCTGAGGCTTTTATGTGGCGCGAGTTGGGTGTGCGCCCACTTCCACCTCTTTCTGGACGCGGGACTATGGCACAATTGGCAACATCTTCATTCGAAATCTCGTGAAACATCTAGTTCTCAAATTATTGCATTCAGTGAAACCTTGCGAAAAATGCCTAAATAGTAGTTATTCATATAGATATTTACCATGAATGGTCATTATTTATATAGACACAAGAACACATACTCGCACTAACACACACACGCACGCACGCACATGCACACATATATATACTTTTAAATATAAAAATATATACATATATACACATACACCCATATAGAGATATGCATGTATATGTAGATCTTGAATACAAATAAGCACATATATACGCACACACAAACACATAATGCGCACTTTTGACGAGAGACGCGAGCAAGCCATGGTTTGGTTTGGTTTGCTTCGCCTTGCCGAATTCGTCAAACACAGACCCAACTTCCAGCTTGCTATCAATGTAAACAAACGACCGCAATGCGAGATGATGAGTGACAGAATTATTCGCAGAAGAGAACAGTGGATGCTGTTAGTAATGTTAGTGATATTACCGAAGAAGAAATAATTTTTTGTCGTGGTTTTACATTTACTGAAGAAGATAAACGAATTTCAAAATATCTTATACATATTGCGTAGCACAAAAGTTATGAAAAAAAGAAATAATCGTCCACACACTTTATAGCAAATCTAAAAGGATAATATCTACCATTCATAACAAAGATGGGTCTTTCAACTGCGAGTTTATAATGGAAATAACATCGGTAAATAAAAACGCACTTTGTATTATGGCTTTCCCAGGAAAGCCATAATACAGTTATAAATAGCTTGAATTTCTGGTAGATAAAACAACTTGCTAGCATATATTGGCGACAAAATAAGTAAATCATTACGAGAATTTCATCGTTGTCATTCATTTCCGTCGGTCACGTTGTCGGTTTGTTTACTGTTGTGACGTCATGAAAGTGTAGCAGAGGAAGTTTGAAAATGTTTGGTTACGAAACCAGACCAAGATATCTGACAAGAAGGTTTCGAGAATTTTCAAAATTCTTGAATTATCTTACGGTCAAAAATACGCCTGAACACACACAAACATTCTTTGTGTGTATTGGTGTGAGGACAATATAAGTGTACAGATATGTATATGTACAAACGCGCGCACGGAAACACACAAACACACATGTACATTAGAGAGAGATAGAAAGATGATTATAACATACCATATGTATGTGTGTATACATTTCAAGTACTTCCTACTTAGGTAACCATCTGTTATCAAAACATTTTCGCAAAAAGGGAAGGCAAGAAAAGTCGTATATGTAAACAAATACAATTTATTCATAAAATAACAAAATCATTATTTATTTTATCATTATCAAAAATAACAATAAATAGCTCCTTAAACACATTGTCTTTAAGATTAGATTACAGTTCCAGTTAATGAAATATGTTTTCCTATGCTGCCTGTGGAATCTTCGGAGCCGTGACAGTCAACACGCCATCGGAAGACATTGCGGAAGTCACGGCCTCCATGTCCACTTTGCCTGGGAAGTTGAAACGTCGACAGAAGCTTTTCATGGACTTGAAGTCGCCCTCTTCCTTTTCCACTCGACCTTCCACCACCACCTGATTATCTTCCACTCTGACCTTAACGTCTCCACTCTTGAAGTCATCAACATCTAGTACAACCTGTTTATAGAATCGAGTAGTGTTTATTTAGTTTTTGTCTTCCATTTTTATATTACTGAATATTCAAATACTCTGTTTGATTGACCTATATCGTTTTATTAAAGCTATTTTTCAATTTGAAAATTTTTTAAACAAACTTCTATTTATGTAAAAAATGTTTAAATCAGTGTGTTTGCGATCCACGTAAATTTTAGATTGTAGAACTAACCTTATGATTGTGGTCGTCTTCGCTGAAGGCCATGACTTGGTTCTCCTGCTGCAAATTGCGATCTCTTACACGTCTGTAGCTACTCATCAGATCACTCACGGATTTGGCTTCTCCCCAAGTGTCCAGGATTTGGTCGATGGCTGTCTCAAAGTGCTTCCGAATATCCTCGAAGAAGGAATCGTGGAAGAAAAGTCCCTTCTCAGCGATTGGGAGAAGTGAATCCTCTTTGCATTCGGGAACTTCTGGTTTCTGTTCAGCAAGGGCGTTAGTATTTTTGCTTTCCATATTTCTCGTATATTGCTTCAGGAAGATTAGCTACGTCTCGTGATGTAGATAAAGCAAGAGCTTCCTTTCTTTTCTCAAAGAGCGTTATTTCTATTGTGTCTAGCGAGAGGCGGCTGCTGAGGCTTTTATGTGGCGCGAGTTGGGTGTGCGCCCACTTTCCACCTCCATCTGGACGGGGATCATGGCATGCTTGGCAACATGAGTCGAAATCTCGTGAAACTTCTAGTTCTCAACTTAAGATGAATGGGTACGATACAATTATGCAACAAATGCTCTATTACTATTTATTTATTTGCTTCATTACTGGTATATTTCATTATCTATAAGGGCATCTTTTACATTTAAAAACAACACAACAAATGTATACATAATATAAACACACACACACACACACACACACACACACACACACACACACACACACACACACACACACACACACACACACACATATATATATATATATATTTCTA